CATCACTTTCTATTCTAATTAGCTACTCGGCTTTTCTCTTTGTAGATCACATTCTTATTCTTCGCTCATTTTTATATTGAGTTTCCTGTCTTTCATTTGTTGATTTGTAGTTCCCGGGAATGTTTCTATAGTAATGTCATTAATTTTATGCTTTGCTAAAAGCTATTCTAGTCTGTCACTCTCTATTAGCTTTAAGGTGCTGCTCACTGACTAGAAAATTCTACATTTTAATGTAGCCACAGCCATCATTTCTCAACCTGATTAAGACATTATTTGGGGGTTATGTTTAAGGGGTACAGACCCTTACCTACATTTTGTTCTATTAGCTTTGCAGTCATCTTTTAATCCCTCTTTAATCTACGTGGAGTCCAACTTGTTCTATGGTGCAATGTAGGAATTTGGTTTTTTCTCTATTATGACCCAGTGTTGCAATACCATCTGCTAAAGAGTTGGCCTTTTCTCCATTATATAAAATGAAGTGATGCATCTCTATCATATACCACACTTTTTTTGGTAAAAAGAAGAATGCTCTTGGAAGGGTGATGACCCAGATGAGATGGGCAAGAAAAATATCCCTGGCCATCCATCTTCAGGAGGGTAATGGTGACTGCTCACTCTGGATTCAGCCTTCTGAAGCCACATGCAAGTAGGAAACCTTGGACTCACCCAGGGGCTCTAAAGGGATTTTTAAAAAACAAGAATAAAGAAAGAAATACGTCTTATTAGGTCAAGTGCTTCAGATATTTCCTGTGAATTCCTGCAATTCCTGCAATGTTTAGTAGCAAAACAATGTGTTTCCGTGTCATGTTACATACATAAAATGCTTTTAATGTCATAACTATACTACATATTGCACCATACTTAGCTGTTTAGAATGTGAGCAGACCTGTTATCCACAAAGCTTTCCAATCTTCCCAAAGCTTTTGGAAATTCATGGAATGATTTAGGGTGCTTGAAATGATATAGTATTTAACTGGTACATTTTTTGTAAGCAAGGAAAAATCTTGTCCCAAACAGGTCTGATTTATGGCTTACTTCAGTATTCTATACATAGTAAGTCCTCAAAAAAATGTCCTTGGCTGATTACCTGGCTGAGGGCCCACATATTCACTGGGTTGGAATTTACATGCAGAAGGAAATCTTCCTTCGTGAAAGTCATGATATATTTGCATTTGCCTTTCGTTAGGAGGAAAAAGCACCAGAGACTTCAAGGACTATTATAGTGTATAAAACTTAACTCCATGCAATTATTCACGGAGCCCTTCCCGGGGCCATACAGCATGATTATATGCTTAAATAAATATTCCTGCCTTACCCTTGGATTTCAATAGAAACTATTTTGGACTCCTGTTATTCACTTACATTGCCACATTGATTCTAAACAACAAGTAGGAAATGGAATCAAGCAAGCCAGTGTTTCCCTTAGAAACTGGTGGCGGGTGGTATTATGAGCTGGAGTCCTAACTAAGAGTTTAGTACTGGTTAGCACCAGTACTCAAACTTTCCGTTTTCCATGCCTACAGATGTACTTGAAGTTAAAGAGCAGAAGACCAAATCCATCCATGTAACAAGATTTAACCGGTGCTCATTACACCCAGGGATTTCATGAGTGTCATGGTTATTCTTGGTTAATCTCTAAATCTACAGGTTGGAGTTCAGAGTTTCTCTTTTTGTTTGGATCTAAAGAACTGTGACTTACTATTTCCAATTCACATAGCTGACAGGTTACATTATAACATTTACTCTCTGCTGGAGGATGACCATTGTGTTCCATTGTGATGCACCAATAATGTTCTTCTGTTCCAAAACAGAATTTTTTTCTTACTTTCTAAAATATGATAGAACATGAATTTTGATAATGTTACATGAACTCCATCCTCCCACTCCCTTTATTTCTCCACAATAAAGAAACCCTGAGGACACTACAGATGGTGAAGGAGAGCTTCACACAATGGCAGGTAACTGCAAGCTCTTGTGATTTCAACTCAGGAAAGGGACAGAAAGAGCGCATGTGTTCTTTGTGACCTAGGCTTTTTGGCTAATGTGAACCTAGCTGGGATGGCTGTCAAAAACGTCAACATGCTTTGAGGCTGGCAACACAAACATTAATACAAATGTTAAACAAGAAACCAACTTTGGTTGTGTCCATGGGAAAAGATCTACAAATGTTCTCCACAACTTAAAAGTTTTTCTACTGACATTTAACCGGAACATGGGTATCATTAGGACAATGTTCCTTGCTCTCACACCATTCTGAATACGTCCGAAATCCTTATCAGCGACACTGAAAATTTTACTGATGTTTTGATACTCTAGACAAAATATCCAAGGTTAAAATGAAGTTATATGGGAAAAACGTAAGTAGGCTCTAAATGTCCTAATCATATGTAATTTTTATTAAATAACTTACAAAGTCTCCATATTGTATATCTAATGATTGAGTTCACTATATTCTATTATATATTTTTACTCATCAATTATGTATTTCCCATGTCATCAGAAAGCAAACTTTATGTCTCTACCCAGCAGAAAACATTTTGAGGGAAACGTTTTACTAAACTGTAAAATATTAGAGTGTTCCGATCTATTTTTCATAATCATTGCTAGTAACACGATAGAAACATTACCAATCCTGATAGCAGATTTTCAGAAATTCATTAAACCCATTAGAAGCAGTAGAAAACAGTCATTTATTCGTCACTACGAAAAGACAGAAAAATGAATTAGACTTTATGTAACTAAAAGCGTGTTCCTTTTAGAAAATATCTACATATGAATTCTGAAATCAATTTATGGCGGTAATAGGTTTCATTTGCTAAAGAAGAACAAATGAAAATGTAAATTAAGAATGGCATCACAAATGGCAACTACGATCGAATTAAAGATGTACTTTATCAAAATAAGCAATTTACAGCAGAGTGTTCTTGTAAGTGAACCCTGAATAAAACAATAATCTGGCTAAGGTAAGAATTCAGAATTATATTTGTAATTAATTTGCCATGCTCAGTCTGCTCTGTTCCTATTTCTGCTCTTCTCGTGCTGGTACAAAGACGAGCACGAAAGTGTGCATGTAATTACTTATTTAAGTCAAATACCTTATGCGATGGATGCACTTATGACCTGTATTAACATGTGTCATCAGGATGTAAGGGAGTTTTGCGAAATGCTAATATTCAATGTCTCCTTAAGCTTTATTTTATATTGATGTCTTATTTCTCATGTAAATGTACACTTTTCCTTATGAGAATTAAGTTTCTCTGTGCTTTCGTTCTTACAACTTTCCTATGAAATCAACCAGCTTGGTATTATTCCCATTTCACAGATGTGGGCCTAAGCCACCACTGCCATGTGCTATATGCTACCCTCACAGGGCAGATTTGGGGGCAAAGACCATGATTTACCTTCAAACAGCTTCGTTTTCATGAATCAGAATCAAGTGGACAGGGCTTCCCTGGCAGCACAGTGGTTAAGAATCCCCCTGCCAATGCAGGAGACACGGGTTCCATCCCTGGTCTGAGAAGATCCCACATGCCACGGAGCAACTAAGTCCGTGCGCCACACTACTGAGCCTGCACTCTAGAGCCCGCGAGCCACAACTACTGAGCCCACGTGCCACAACTACTGAAGCCCTCATGCCTGGAGCCCGTGCTCCACAACAAGAGAAGCCACCGCAATGAGAAGCCCACGCACCGCAACGAAGAGCAGCCCTCGCTCGCCGCAACTAGAGAAAGCCCGCGCACAGCAACGAAGACCCAACACAGCCAAAAAAAAACAGAAAGAAAGAAAGAATCAAGAGGACAGCCTTCTCCCCATCATATTCCCTCTAACTAGAATTTTCTTCATTTGGTAAAGCCTTACTCCCTTTCTAGGCTTAATTCAGAAACCAGCTCTTCTCTGAAACAGACTCCACTGAAATCGACTGAATGATTCCTGCCTCTGTTCCCCATAGCTTTTGTGAGAATACTGAGCACACCCTTTCGTTGTTCACAGCACGCACATCTGTTTCTTCCTGCACGAGTTAGTCATTTTTTTTTTTTTTTGTCTGCGCCGCACAGTTTGTGGGATCTTAGGTCCCCGAGCAGGGAACCCATGGCCCACTGCAGTGGCAGCATGGAGTCTTAACCACTGGACCGCCAGGGAAGTCCCCAGGACTTAGTCATTTTTATATCCCTCTCGCAGAGCCTGGGAAAGGGTCTAGCATGAAGCAGCTGTTCAACAACCTTAGCAAAGTAAATTGTATGAGTGACCGCCACAGACAAGACAACAGGTAAGTAGAATTGTAACTATTCCTGCCCTTGAAGTAAATCCTGTCAGTGGGAGAGGAAAAGGCTTAAGAGTGAGATAGGAAGTTAATACATATATTAAAGAGTGATTTTTAAATGTAGATAAAGGAGGAAAAGGATTGGCCTAAATCCAACCACAACACCAGCACAGCTCAAGACACGAGTGAATGTAATTAGAGGCGTAAGGCATTCATTCCTGCATAACCACGGGTTTCCTGTTTAATTACACAGTTTTCATATACGCCCTCTTTAAGACAGGAAGAAAGGTGGGAACGATATTACGGATAATAGAGGCTCCTGCCAGAGAAAGAATTCCAGTGGATACTGGCAGTTCAGCTGTTCTCTTCAGAAAGAGTCTTCAAGACAGCCTGCCTTTTTATTATGTCTGGTGAAGGTGAAAACGGCTGTTAAAAATATCAGCGAGGAGATATTTATGGAGTCCCTACCTCAGGCTAAATACTTGCGGAAAGTTTTCACAGATTATCAGATTCTCCTAATATGAGTTAGAGATCATGGTCCCCATTTTACAGGAAGAGAACTGAAGATCAGAACAATGAAATGAGTTGCTGAGGTTGCAAACCTAGTGCCAGAGCTTTGATCCAACCAAATTTCGGGACTCTTCCTACGACACCCTACAACCCCCTCTTTCGGTGTTTAGAACAGTGACACTCACCTACTGCACTGTGTGAACATGATTCCCGTTTAAAGACATCTGGTTTAGGCTATTTCACATCTGCTAAATTGTAATCTGAGGATTCCTTTCACGTGAAGCTGGAGAATTTGTCTATACTCCTTGGGCATCTCATGGAAACCGCGCTTAGGTAACCTGTTGTCGTAGTAGTGATGGCTGACAGGTGTGTTCTCTCCAGTTTTAGAGAAGGGCCAGAATCCATAGAGTTTCACGTTCTCGCACAGTTCAACTGCCACACTTGTGATCATCAAGCCGGAGGACAGGCGATACTCGGTCACACCTTTAGTCCTCCAGAAGAGGGCAAGGTTTTTCAGGTACTTGGGATGGAAAAATAAAACTCTTTGTCTTGCTTTAGATTCCTTCAGTGTGTAGTACACCTTAAAAGAGGCCGCAGTGTTGGCCCTGAAGGAAAATGCTGGCAGAAGGACGAATGCATCTCCATAGGTTGCAACGTCCTCCAGAAATATTGCTTTCTTTTCCTTTAAGTTCCCATATCTGCCAAATTTTTAAAACATCATGATTTTAACAGTAATCATCAAAGGAGCAGTTTTGGTAACATGAGGCTGAATTCACCACTGGCCAAAAAACAACCATTTATATCACTGTATATAAAAGAGACAAACTGCAGACTCAGAGAAAACTCATGTTAAGTAAGCATCTTGTAAATATCAGGGGTGAGGTCTTCATTTCTCTTTCTTGGCATATCTAGGCTCTCATTCCTACCTTCTTATGGGGCAATACCCTTACTGGACATACATTTTTTATATTACTTTATCTTCCAACTCAGTACTTTTTCCCTAAGGTTGCTTTTTAATGATGAATTACCTTCCAAATGTATAATGCTGAAATGTTTTCTCAAACATAACACACTCTTAAAATATCTGTACATTTAAAAAATTCATTGAGCTGTACATTTGTATATACATGTTATTATAAAATAACAGTTTCCTTTAGAAAGTCTAAAATATCTATACACATAAACACACACACACACATCTTAAATTTCCTCCATGGATTGTGATAGCTCTATGTGTTTAATTTAAATAATACCTCAGTAAATATACTGGTGTGCATGACTGCGTGTGTTTAGAAAATAAGCCTTGGGGAGACAGGTACAATATTTTATATTCTCTTAAGCCATACTAGAACTATTTGAGGGGTGCATTCTACTAATAACAATTATTAGTCACTTCGGATGAAAACAGTTGAATAAAACTATATATAGGATTTTTATTAAACAGCCAACATTTTGTAGTAGTTACATTGTGGAAAATAAAATACAGGAATTATTTTTTAGTAATAAACTGCCCGAAATGAAAACTTGATTTTGCCAGGTTCTCCTAAGGGTTACTCTCTGAAGCTTCTAAACAGACTAAGTTTTTTCAAGAAAGCGCTATCAAGACAAGAGTAACACTAAAATTCTGAAAGGAAATCTAAAAAAGGAACTTCACTATTAAAAAGTTCTCATTGGATTAGCAACATTCAGCTTATGACATTTGAAGTACAACTGGACATACCTCTTATGAGCCACAACCTAAATTACCAATATATTCTTATGTATTTTCCTAAAAAGCCATTCCAGCTGTATTAGAAGTCAGTCTCAGCAACAAGATTAGTGCTCAGACTAAGAAACAGGTTAAATAATGAGAAAAATGTTCTTGAACAGTTATGTAATTTGAGGTACTTACCTTAGTCTTATGATGCTGGGATTTAGAGTCACCAGGTTGGTTTTAGTGCCGACATCATTGGTAACATTTCCTGTGGTTGGGGGGAGGTTACACCTGAAATTTGGAAGGAAAACTATTCTCAAAATATAACTTGTGGGAAAAAAAAAAGTACATCCACACATATACATGTGATCATTCTCATTTTATTGGAGAAAATTATTGTTGTTAAGAGGATCCTCAGAATTCATCTGATTTCCATCGAAACACATTTAACAAGTACTGAACTCTTAGCTGGCATTTCAATATTAGATAAAATAAATGAATTTGATAAATGCTTTCAGTATCATGTAAGACCTTTATAAGTAACAAAACTAGAAATGACAATTACACATTGCCTAGCTTTTGAAGAGTTCATGATCCTTTTATTAAAATTATTATTTATATTAATTAGATTCCCACAGAGTTATGATCACCAATTTACAGATTTTAAAAAATTGAGGCACTGCGACTAAGGTTATAGCATCTGCCAGAAGCAAAGGCTATATAAAAAAAAATCAAAATTTCCTGATTCCCATATGGACTGTTTTTCCACCAAATTAAGCTGTTAATAAATAAAGCCTTAATGTTCTTATAATGATGTTTTCATATTGATGTCCTCATCCTCTTTTGAGTACTATTTTGCTTTTAAATTGGAAAACAAATTAAGAATTGTAATTTTGAGTAAGTATATTCTTGTCACACAGAAAAGAGAAAGTATCATTTCAGAATTTCAAGTAGACCATTTCTTTAAAGCTATACATACAAAGGGAGCATCTCTGAGGAAGGCTGTTTAAACTTGATGTGCTCTGTAAGATGAGGTTGAAATATTCTATTCCATGCTCTATGAAATATATGAATAAATGAAACACGCACTTCTCTCACTGATAAAAAAAGATACATCAGAAAACAAATATGGCACCTTGGGAAAATAAATATTAATTTAGATAATAGGCCACAGAAATGTCTTCATTAGTGGGCTTCCTGTAACAAATCTACTTTTTAGAACAGTCTCATATTCTTTTGAAGACTCAAAGATGATTTCCAATATGGTATCACTGGAGACTCCTAGGGGAAATATTGGGTATTGTATATACACAGTACAGTAAAGCCACTCAGCCCCTATTTTTGCTCCTTACACACTTAACTGACAGCTCCCAATCTTCTGAAATGAAAAAAAAAAAAAAAGATAATCAGCTTCCAGATGGTTTTATAAACTATGAAACATGTACAACCAAAATAGACATAGGCTTAAAAATTAAATAAATTTTAATGACACCAACCATGTACAGCCCCAATTTGACCTTTCAGTTTGGAAGGCTAACTTCAAAAGGAACTCTATATTCAGAAAAATATCTGGCATCAACAAATGCAGAATCTAGAAATATACGCATTTATTTTAGAGTTATAAATTAAGTAGCTGTTGAGTTTTTTGTTTTTTGGGTTTTTTTCCCCTGCTTGTTAAACCTAAACTTGTATTTCTTATATCTGCTATAAAGTAAAATGGATGTTTAGGCATAATATTCACGCCAGATGTTTTGGGAATTTTCAGTCTATAAAAAAGTCTATTACAAGAAGAATTATTTATCTTCCTTATGGTTTTTCCATACTGAGTACTTTAACAAAATGGCTAAATCATGCAGGTATTGGCCATTTTCACATTCATCATGACGAACACATTCAATAATGGTTGGACTGCCAGGTCTGTTGTTCTGTTATTATCTTCGGCACAAAATTCTAAATGAGATTAAAGTGAGGGGGAGCTACTGATTCAGAATCGTGTTTCTTTTTCATGTGCTAAAATGGGCAGCATTAAATCAATAAAGATCAAAGGATCTCCTCTGATGTATGCAATTGGTGCTCCTGAAATAGGAAGAAACGGATTTCAACTGACTTTAAAAAAAGGTGCATTTCAACTGAAATCCACCCTCACAGGGATGAATCCTTTTTCCATCATATTCTGAAAGTGGAAATGCTCTGTGGCTTGTCTTATTAGTTCACACACACAGAGAAACCACTTTTGTTTCTGTTTTGGCAAGCTAGCTTGTATTGAGATATAAACATTTTAAAAGATCAGAATTTAGAAGCTGCACATTTTTTTAAAATTTCAGGCCAGAAACCTAAATAAACATCAATGTTGTGTGGCTATACAATATCTAAGTCAGCATTTTCACAAGTATTACCTGAGAACAAAGTGTTCTTGAAATGCTCTGTTTAAAAAAAAAAAAAGTATCCTTAATATATTGAAGGCTCTGACAAGTCCTGCAGTGAAGACCCTCTTTGACTATGATCTCATGCAGCGTTTCTGGAAAGTTAAGTGACCACAGCAACATTCAGAGGAACTCATGATCCATTTAACACTTTTGGAAACACACTAGATAAATTGCAGGCTTAAGCAACAGAGTTCAAAGGTCAAAATTTACACAGAGTATCTTTAGCCTATTCATTTAAAATATCCAGCTGATCTTAGATGTCAAAGAAACCAATTTGACAGAGCTTACCTAAAAACAAAGTCGGATTTATCGATTTCGGCTCCGCAGAAAGACTGATTCAGAATTCCCCCATTTCCAACCACCGCACACTGATTGTAAGGGTACCCCACAAAAGGCTGAGTCTATCAGGAGAAAGGGAAAAACTGCCATAAAATAGCTTTAGTTTTAGAACCATAAACATCATCAGCTTAATTCAAGTAGCTTAATCTTTACACATGCTAAGGAAAGAAAAAGAACAAGAAGCAATACCACAGCATGTTAATCAACTTATGACATCATAAAAAAATCCCGTAAACCTGTTTCATTTCTCTTGAGAGGAATATATAGCATATCATAGACAAACATAATGTAATAATACAAAATATAATACACTTGTTCTTAAAATGTACTTTAACGTATTTTACATCACATAATTAAGTAAATAAATTGAGGATGAGAAAATCCCACATGGGCCTTTCGGACAAACAGGACCATTTCCAGCCAAAAATAGAAAAGAAAGCAATTCCAAAGTAGCATTCAATTCTCTATTCTTGGCCAGAAAATTAATAGATAATTTAGTGAAAGTTCTCTGTGCTTCTTAAATAGGTAGACCTTCAGGCTCAGTGATGACAGATTTATGCCTGCGACCTCTGTAAATGATCAGCCACGGTGCTTCAGGGAGGCCCAGTAACTCTGTGCTGATTTGTTTCAAATTCATTTCTAAGGCCGGAATCATTTTTGATTCCTCCAAGGACCCAACTGGCTGACCCCAAAAGACTTCCCACTTTTACCAACTCCTCCGCGGTCTGAACCATAACTTTTCAATTTGACAGTGTACTTTGCTTTTGCTGGTCACTTTTCCGGAAGTAAGGATGTGACCTTAACCAGCAGCAAGGGTGTCAGCTCAGAGTTCGGCAATGATGAGGTCCTGATTCACCTGCTTTGTCTCCAGAATGTGAGTGTAGGTCCTCAAGGGCAGAGAGGATGTTTATTACTTTTCATTTCCCCCATCTTCTACTGCAGACCTCGCCTAGAGGACCACTGCTTTTCGATGGGTGACGACTGGCCCAATGGCCACCTGGGTGCAACCCCCAGCGCCATGTTGGAACCCAGCTGTACCAGCTTATGGGCAACAACTGGTAAATATTCAGGAATTTTGTCAGCCGATTGTGAAACCACTGGTAAATTACAATCGCCACGATGGGGATATTTACATTGCTACGAATCAGGGAACCCTCCTGCCCAGTGTACCAGCCCCACTGGCAACACCCCAGGACCAGTGTGGTTCTGACCTGCCCAACAGATCCTGAATCACCCTGACTCCCGCGTGATCCTGAATCTGCACTGGGAGATGCCAAACGAGTGACGAGAACTCTCTTTCAGCACATCTGCGTTTGTCCATAAAAATGAAAAATCATGTTGTGCTTCTGGTGCGAGAAGCACTTTCCCGAGTTGTAACTTGTTAACACATGGAATCCGTCCAACAACCTTGCGAGCATTTTACAGATGGGAAAACGGAGGCACGAGTTTAAAGAAGGGCTAGAAAGCAGCAGAGCTGGGATTCAAACCCAGGCAGTCTGGTTGAGAGTCCATGGTCTCAACCACGACACATTATACAGGTGCTGTCTGTCATTCAAGGGGTGAAAGGTTAACTGAAGGATGTGCACAGACGTGATGCCCAGCAGAGTGCCTGGCTCTTTAATGAATGGTTCCCACAGACCCTGGGCTACTTAAAATCGCTGAACTTCTAGCGCAAGATGTTTTCAGACCATGTTTACTAACCGATACCACAGTAAATTCTGAATTTTACAGAAAGGGCAGAATGCAAATAGGCTCTTTATGGTACAAGAGAAAAGATTACTGAGGGGAACATATCTCCAATTGAGCACTCAAAATAATGAACGTTTTTCTCTGGTTTCTTGGTCAACTAGGAGGAAAAAGTCCATATGCTTTGGTATCTTACGTTCAGTAAGAGTTCAAATAAATGACAATTTCAACGTTCCTTAAAATAGGGCTCCTAAGAAAACGCAAATCTGGGCCACTCAACTGCCTGCTTGTTGCTAACTCTGGTTGAAAACCAGCTTCGTTGTTTTCCTTTCAAGTAACTTAGCAAAGCTTTGGAGTAAGTGACTTCACAACATTTCACCCAAAGCATCTATTGCGATCTGCTTGCTGTGTGCCCCACAGAACAAAGCAGGGTTGGGGTGTGGGAAGCAACCTCGGATGCTGTGTCTGTGGAAGGGGATGTTGAAGAAACACAGAAAAGTGACCTCGCTTTGCAGCTGTTACTGTATTAACTTCAGAATTTCCTCCCCCTAGTTTTAAAAAGTCAGTATTAACTTGGAAAATGGATGCTGCTGCTAATTGCATCCAGAATTATCAAGCCTATGCTAAGTTATTCTTTTCAAGGTGCCAATCAGAAGCAAAAAAATACCTGTAGCTCCTCTGTTCTGACCAGCCTAAGGCAAGGAAAGCACTAGGAAAAATGGCAAGGGTGAAAGAGCTGCTCTCTGTGGAACTCCCCAAGGTCTTCCCTGATAAGGGATAGAAATATTCTTCAGTTGCTATCTTTTCAGCTATTGGTCATTTCAGTGCATCACGAGGGGATTTTCAGAACGCCGTATGAGTTATTTTTTTGGTCCGTCCCCGTTCCCTTCCGGAAAATCTGCAATATTTTTTCTCTAACATTGTGTATTGATTTTTCGTTCATTCCGAGAAAATTATACTTCCTTTGAATTGTAATATTAAAAAAAAATTGGAACAACTTACATGACAATAAAATAGTTGAAACAAGTCAAAGATCCAGCAAAATGGAATTAATTGTAAGAACTGAATATTCTACAGTTGGTAAACTGCATATATAAAGCGATCCCATTTTGACCACTGACTTGGCCTAATTGCTTTTCATCAAGTCATAAAAAGATGCCTGAGGGCTTCCCTGGTGGCGCAGTGGTTGAGAGTCCGCCTGCCGATGCAGGGGACGCGGGTTCGTGCCCCGGCCCGGGAAGATCCCACATGCCGCGGAGCAGCTGGGCCCGTGAGCCATGGCCGCTGAGCCTGTGTGTCCGGAGCCTGTGCTCCGCAACGGGAGAGGCCACAACGGTGAGAGGCCCGCGTACCGCAAAAAAAAAAAAAAAAAAAAGATGCCTGAGAGTGTAGTTCATCAGCAGTGGGATATTTTCAGGAGAAAAATTCCCCCCAAGTTTGGATTTATAGTGTAATGATACAGTATCATTACTCATTAGTTTAAATGACGAATATGTAATGAATGCATCTGTGCACTGGGGCATGTCCTAGGAGCTTGGGATACATAAGAACACAGTAGATAAAAATCCCTGTCTTGTGGAGGTTATGTTTACGGACCACAAATTCTTATGTATTTACTTCCCAAAGATTAGCCACATAAACCTACAATTCTTTGTGAAGGAATTGATTTAGTCACTGAAACTGACAACTGGAGAATTATTGCAGGTGAAAAATGGGCATCTTCCCAAGCCCTGGTAATTACAATGCAGAAAGCCCAAGTACCTCATCTCATTCAAGGATGAGTCATGAAGAATCAAGGGCTGGAAGAGCTTATCATTTAAGATATAAATACCATTCCCCACAGAGCCACAAGTATTCAAAACTGCCTTGGACTGCCGTACGTATCTTACACAACACAACAGAGTGTGGCATTTTAATGAATTAACTGCTCCATTCTTATATGTTTTTTGTTGTTGTTGTTTTTTTTTTGCGGTACACGGGCCTCTCACTGTCGTGGCCTCTCCCGTTGCGGAGCACAGGCTCCGGACGCGCAGGCTCAGCAGCCACGGCTCACGGGCCCAGCCGCTCCGCGGCACGTGGGATCCTCCCGGACCGGGGCACGAACCCGCGTCCCCTGCATCGGCAGGCAGACTCTCAACCACTGCGCCACCAGGGAAGCCCCCATTCTTATATCTTAATCTGAGCCAACATTCACCTTAAATGGTGACACAAACCACAAGAAATTCTCACTCACCACTGGCAACATATCGAAAATGTTCTCTCTGATTTGGATTTCGCTTTTACTTTCCACCTCGTAACTCACGTTAGTCCCGACAGGAGTGTTATTTTGAGAAACAATGAAGTTCTGAACAGCATCACAACACGAAGCAAGTTCCACTCTGCGAAGGAGGAGGATAAAAGTCAGTCAAGGAATAAGATTAAGACCCAAAACAGAGACGACGATGGAAAACGCAGAAGAGGATTTTGCCATATACTGACTTTCAGAGAGAAGATACCTCATTCGCAAAGATGACATTTTCATCTCATTCCATTCTAACTGTCCCTGGATGGTGCAAGAGTGCTGTGGGAGGATTAAATAGCAAAGAACATCAACGTACTTACACTCAGGTAGGGACCGAGTCACTCATAGGAAATACTGATTATATAAATGGTTTAAATACAAAGACTTCTTTCTCATGATAATGTTGTAACAACAAGGAGAAAATGACAGAATACCTTCTAATTTTATTAAACAGTAGAGAAATTAAATTAAGACCAGTGTCACAAATCATCACCAAAGCAATATGTAATCATTTATTATGAGACAAGTTCAATGAAAGAAAGCATCATTCAATACAGTGATTCTTTTGAGCTTCACTGAGGTATAATTCACAAATACGTACGGGGAATTCCCTGGCGGTCCAGTGGTTAGGACTCTGCGCTTCCTAACAGGGGGTCTGGGGTTCTATCCCTGGTCGGGGAACTACGATCCCACAAGCCTCGTGGTGCGGGCAAAAAAAAAAAAAAAATTCACAAATTATGTTCATGGTTTAATGTGCATACATCCTGTGCAATCATCACCATAACCAAGCTAATCAACATGTCCATCACCTCACATAGTTATCTTTTTTCTTTTTCTTCTTTCTTTTTATAGTAAGAATACTTGAGATTTACCCTCTTAGCAAATTTCAAGTATGCAATACAGTACTGCTAACGATAACTACACTGCTGTACTTTAATAGACTGAATTTTTAAATGACGTGAATTTAAAGTTGCCATTCTTTACAGAAAGCCCAGAAAAATGTAATTTAGTACTGAACTATATTTCCAAATTATTCCTATGGAGTGAAACCTTATTGTCAGAATGCAGACCCAGAAAGGTCCTGCCAGGGGTTGCTGGAATTTGCCCCCAACCTCTGGCAGGTGAATCCAGAACCCCTCAGAATTTATATTTTGCTTATGTAATTCTCTGGGGATGTAGACTCCATAGCGTCTCTTGATAATTATTCCACAGTTTAATCAACCTTGAAGTCAAGAGACTCTTTGATTTGCACAACTGAACTCTCTTCACTTAAATCCACCTCCCTGGTTAGTTTTTCATAGAATCTCTCCATAAAAGACACTTCATGTAATTGAAAATGGTAATCATCAAGCACAACTTGAACTTTTTCAATTTTTTTTTTTTTTTTTTTTTTTTTTTTTGCGGTACACAGGCCTCTCACTGTTGCGGCCTCTCCTGTTGCGGAGCACAGGCTCTGGACGCGCAGGCTCAGTGGCCATGGCTCACGGTCCCAGCCACTCCGCGGCACGTGGGATCTTCCCGGACCGGGGCATGAACCCGCGTCCCCTGCATCAGCAGGCGGACTCTCAGCCACTGCACCACCAGGGAAGCCCAAACCTTTTCAATTTTGAAGCATTTAGAGAATTTCCTCTTCTGTCAGATTTTCTCCATAAGACCAATTTTTTCATTAATGTCACCTTGTTCATCTTTAAACCTTTACTAATTTCTCCATTGTACTTAAAAATATATATTAAAGTTGGATCCCACCATAGCACAAGGAACAGTGACTATTCAGCAGACAGAGCTGACTGTGGTCAATACTGATACCCTGAATTCCTAACTGGTCCTTTCCCATCGCATATTTTTTTTTATTGGTTTTTGGTCCTGAAGGGTATACTTTTATACATGTTCCTACTGAATTTGGTTCTTTTGAAAGAATACAATGCTCTAGCCTGTCACAGTCATTTTGAATTATATTCCAGTCTTCGTGAGTGCCAGAAATTGTCAGGGTATGAAAAGTCAGTGCTGTGATATTATTTGTACCCTAAAAATCAAGATTTTCAAATTAGTTTGTATCAGTTAGCTGATATTATTAAAATAGTACATTCTTACTTGAATTCTATCACCTGCTTATTATTTCTCTTTTCATTTCAGAACCTATCATTTCTAATAGCTCACGGAGACCAGAACAACAAAAGAACAAATTGAAAATGAAATGATGTGTAGTCAAAAATATGATACTAAGTATTTGTAATTATAAATTTAATTTCATAACAATTCATGTGACATATTTCAAACTCAGAAATCCTTATGTGTTTATAATTTTAAATGTCTCTTTTATGCAGCATGTTGAGAAAGGCAATGGAGTAGATTCTCATTTACCTTTTAGAAGTAACTTAATTTCTCTGAGGATATTTGGTGCTTGAAAGAATACTGCATCACACAAAAAAACCACTAAGCAGGGTTTCCCTGGTGGTGCAGGGGTTTAGAATCTGGCTGCCAATGCAGGGGACACAGGTTCAAGCCCTGGTCTGGGAAGATGCCACATGCCACAGAGCAACTAAGCCTGTGCACCACAACTACTGAGCCTGCGCTCTAGAGCCCGTGAGCCACAGCTACTGAGCCCGTGTGCCACAACTACTGAAGCCCGTGCACCTAGAGCCCACGCTCCTCAACAAGAGAAGCCACCACAATGAGAAGCCCACACACTGCAACGAAGAGCAGCCCCCGCTCGCCGCAACTAGAGAAAGCCCGTGCGAGCAACAAAGACCCAACGCGGCCAAAAATAAATAAATAAAATTTTAAAAATGCAATTATTAAAAAAAAAAAAAAACACTAAGCAAAGTACCCTTTGTGGGTTTTTAAACAGTTTTTTTTTCTGGGAGTTCCCTGGTGGTCTAGTGGGTTGGATTCGGCGCTTTCACTGCTGTGGCCCCGGGTTCAGTCCCTGGGCAGGGAACTGAGATCCTGCAAGCTGTGCAGCGTGGCCAAACTTTTTTTTAATTGTTTTTTCCTGAAATTATTTTCAATTATTATATTATAAAATTTTCAAACCCTCAGGAAAGTTGAAAGAATTGGACAACAGCATTTGAATAATGACCAGCTAGACTCTACAAGTAATTTTTTTACTATATTTGCCTTGTTGTGTATTAATCCATCAACCCATTTTTGTTGTTATAGTTATTGCAATTCAACATGAATGACAGGTATCAGTACACCTCACCCCTAAATATTTCAGCATGTTTATATTATTTTGTATTTTGGGGTAGAATTTACATACAATAAAATCCCAAGTGCATTCAATGAGTTTTGAGAAGTGCATATACCCCTGTAACCCAATCCCCTGTCAAGATACAGAATATTACCAACCCCACTAGATAATTCCCTCAAATTCTTTCCCAGTCCACCTCCAGCCATCCCCCACCTCAAGGCAACCACTTTTGTGATTTTTTTTTTTTTTTTTTTGTGGTACGCGGGCCTCTCACTGTCGTGGCCTCTCCCGTTGCGGAGCACAGGCTCCGGACACGCAGGCCCAGCGGCCATGGCTCACGGGCCTAGCCGCTCCACGGCATGTGGGATCTTCCCAGACCAGGGCACGAACCCGTATCCCCTGCATCGGCAGGCGGACTCTCAACCACTGCACCACCAGGAAAGCCCTTTGTGATTATTTTTTACCAAACATTAGTATTGCCTGTTCCAGAATCTATATAAACATATACATAAATCTATATAAATAAATATAAATCTATATAAATCATATTAATGCAACACTGTAAATCAGCTATACTCCAATAAAAATGTTTTTAAAAATTTAATTAATTTTTTAAAAAAGAATATTGTATATACGCTTTTGTGTAAGGCTTCTTGCACTTGCCATAAATGTTTTTGCAATTCATGTATGTTGCCATGTATGTCAGTAGTTTATCCCTTTTTATTGCTAGAGTAGTGTTGCACTGTCTGAATGTACCAGAATTGATTTAGCCATCCCCCCTGCACGTTTTTTTTTTTTTTTCAGTACGCGGGCCTCTCACTGTTGTGGCCTCTCCTGTTGCAGAGAACAGGCTCTGGACGCGCAGGCTCAGCGGCCATGGCTCACGGGCCCACTGGACCGGGGCATGAACCCGCGTCTCCTGCATCGGCAGGCGGACTCTCAACCATTGCGCCACCAGGGAAGCATCCCCCCCTGCACTTTTAAAGAAATCACTATCAAAAAACAATGTTAAATACCTAATCACTCCTAATAACATCTCAGGAAAAACATCGGAATAATTATCCAAAATGTCATTTCTGCAGCCTATGTTGGGTCACTGACTAATGGGACATATAGTTAGTGGCAGAATTATAAGTTTATGCTCTTTGTCATTTCCCAGGTCATCTGCAGTAAAGATCCCCATAATAGCCAGTGTTAGTATAGAGCTGAGATGCTTAGAACAAACAAAACAAAATGGAATTTTATTTCTATTATTCCATTTCCCATCATCCCTAAAAACAGAGTCAGTTCTAATCCTTGGTGACTCCAAAGTCAACTAGATGTGCTCACAATAATGGGCATAGCAATTTCCCCCTTCTTGTGTAAAAAGAGCAAGAGACATTAAGAAATGAAGGACACTTTGTATTCACTAGATGTGATAGTGAATTTCACCTGTCAACTGAGCCAAGTCAATGCCCAGAGAGCTGGTAAAACTATTTTTGGGGGTGTCTGTGAGGATGTTTCAGGAAGGATTAGCATTTGAGTCGGTAGATGGAGTCAAAAAGCTCACCCTTTCCAATGCATAGTAAATATCCAACCAGACCAGCATTCACAAACCTCACCCTGGTAAAGCACTGTACACTCTCCAGAGCATTTTCACACCTATTATGACATCTGATGCCCACAACAACCAGGGAGATAGAAAATATAATTATTCCCATTTTATTTACTTTTTAAAGTAGTAAGTAGTCTTATTTATTTATTTTTGGCTGTGTTGGGTCTTTGTTGCTGTGCGAGGGCTTTCTCTAGTTGTGGTGAGCGGGGGGCTACTCTACATTGCGGTGCTCAGGCTTCTCATCACGGTGGTTTCTCTTATTGCGGAGCACGGGCTCTAGGCGCACAGGCTTCAGTAGTTGTGGCGTGTGGGC